AGAGGAGAGGAGAGGAGAGGAGAGGAGAGGAGAGGAGAGGAGGAGGGAAGGGGAAGGAAGGGAGCCTTGACAGTGGAGTAGAAGCTCCTCACTAGGGGAAAAGAAGTAGAATGAAGCCATGCACTGCAGTGAAGAAAGAGGAGAAGAAGCAAGGAAGACGTGGTTTGGCGAAGCAGAAGGAGAGGCAGCCAACAGAAGAAGGAATGGAGACAACCAGGCATTCCAGCAGAAGGAAGGATGAGAATGATACAAAGAAGAATATGAGTGGATAAAAGTCAGAATGACAGAACAGTGTTTGACTGGAGACTGTGATGAGGGACTTGGAAATCTCTCAATATGTCCGTCACTCAAATGGATCTAGAGAGAAGAGGATGTGCTACATCCTAGAGCAGTGATAGAACATTTGAAACTTTTCCTCAGTTTTCAGTAAAGGCAGCAAACAGAACATGGAGAACACAGAATACCAAAGAGGAATAATATGAAATTTTCTGAGCTGAAAATAGTTGGAAGCGGAGAGAACTAGGCAGAAGTGTTGTATCTGCTTGTCCTGTTCTTACTGTTCCTGAGCCATCTGCTTATGGCTCTGATTACAGAGAAGATCCTGGCCCAGAGATACTCTTGGTCTGATCCAGTACGACCCTCCTCATGTTGTTGAGTGAGCATAGAAATGACAGTATCTGAGGTAGAAGCAAAATGCAAAGAGCTTAATGCAATTAAGTTGATGCAGGCTAGCTCCTCTCACCCTGAGGTGACAAGGCATGAAATCACAAATCTGATAGTAAGGATTTTTAATGAATCTGTCTAAAGAGGGGTGGAGCTATGTAATTGGAGTATAACAAGGATATATTATATGTAAGAGGGGTAAAAATGGTTCCATTAGTCTGACCTTTAACAGTATATGAGGCAATAGAATTAATATGGAGGGAAAGAATAGAGAATTGGGAGTATATGGAATGGAATAAAATAGCACGTGTTTACCAAAGGTAGGCTGTGTCCAAATAATCTCATCTCTTTCTTTGCTAAGAGAAAAGTTGTTGTTTCCCTTAACAAGGAAAGTATAGTAAAGGTAATCCAGCCAAAATTCTGTAAAGCTATTGCTATAGTGCCTTTAGGAAATGATTAGATAAACCAGAAAAGTTGTTATTAGTACAGATTGGGAGGGACTGGTGGAGAAGAGGACCATGCATTTTGGAGTATCAAAGCAATCTTTGATAAGGTGAGGGCTTACAGTTCGAAATGACAGGGAGAAATATGAGTGTGTCAGTCGGTGAGTTGTGATGTGGCTGTGAGAAGACAAGTACATTGCTGGAATATATTGTGTGAGGGATAGCAGAGAAATACTATTTCTGTTATGTAAGGCAGGGTGATACCTTATCTGGAGTAGTACAGGGATATATGATTTTGATCACCCCTTTTCAAAGATGATAGATTACAAACCTGCATAGATATGGAAAAGAATAAAGAAATGGAAAGCTTGAATACAAGAGACTAAAAAATTCTTAGCATATTTATCTGGTAATGCAAAGGTAAAGAAGGAATCTGAGATACATAACAGAGAGGGAGAGGAATTACTAAGGCAGAGAATAGTATCAACAGAAATACAGATGGATGTGAACCCATTAGGAATGTGTTGAAGCTGGAATTTACTGCATGGAACAGTCTCTAATCCCCTCTGAAGCAGTTGTTGTTCAACAGTTTCTTAAAAAGTCCAAACAAAATTTATATTTAACAGAGAAATGTGCATTCCTGAATCATGTGAGGTCCTGTCTGACTTGTTTATCTCACTATAGCCTTACCCCTTTCTTGGATGTGCCTGGTGAGACAACCCAGCCCACAGGGTCATAATTATCATTTGGAAGCTCTTGGATGACCACAGTTATTTTTGAAATAACAGATGAAATTCGAATGCAATTAACCTTCGTATTATGGTTCACCTGTTCCTGGTCATCCCAAGGAGTGGATGAGTTGTTACCACCTCCCTTGTCTTCAATCTGCTGTTTACAGAGTATCAGAATTTAAAGCAAACAGTGAAAATGAACAGATGAGTACATTCTAGAAATTAATAAATACTTGACAGGATTCAACCTGGGGGACTTTATTTGGGATTTGCAGTGGGTGTTTGCAGCACTGGGAAAGAGGCGACAACACCTGTACCATCCTTTTTTCTTTGCAAGCCAGGAGTTCTTCTAGTATTGCCAGTACATGTATTGCAATACCTGTATTGCCAGAGATATGACCCGTTACTGCACTGGTTTTAGGGTGGGGTTTGTCTTCTGGGTATACAATTATACCGCAGCAGGAGCCGTTTTTCATGCTTCAGTTTAGTGGAGTTACACATTGCAACTGGCCAGCTGCTGAGAGGCAAATATGAAGCAATTAGTGTTAATAAATAGTAGAGCAAGACCAAGACATTTATTTTCAAAGTACTAGCCCATTATCTGTCTTACATATGATTCCATTAACATTATTGCTGTTCTAAAAATAATTTATGCACGGAAATAAACTTAATTTGAAAGCTGATGAGTTCATGTTACATTTGGCTAGCTAGCCCAGATTTGGCCTGCAACAAAAAAATGAATTTCAAACAGACCTTTAAAAAAAAGGATAAATTAGGCCTATCACTTCCACTGAAGATTTATTTCAGTAACATACAGAATAAATCAAACCTGAAATAGGACAGGATCCAATGAGAAAATAACACACTCTGATCCAGTTTAATGCCAAAAATGTAGTTATTCATGGCTGCATTGCTAACAGCATAGCTACCAAACGGGAAATCTGACTTAAAGCTCTTTTGATTCATCTGGAGAGTTTCCTGCATTGCAGGAAAAAATCCATTGAATAATACATTGTTTCTGTATTTACAGGTTTTTTTTTGTTTAAAGCCTGCTTTCCGCTGACAAAAAAAAAATATAGCTGAGGCAGGATCTAGCATCCGTCTTTCAGAACATATAAAGTAAGCCTTATCTTCTGATCTTCAGTCCAAAATGGTGTCTCAGGTTGGAAATTCAGAATGCTTGCAATGCAAGTTTCCTTGGATGTGTAAGAGAACAACAGCCGTGATCCTGCTCATGTCTGTAAGGGTACAGCACTGCCATTCTTCCCCAGCTCCTTCCAGTAGCAGCTGCATGTTAAAATGGAAGAGGGATTTTTGCCTGCATAATAGGTGAATGGAAGACAGCCTAGCTAACGCACCTTATGAACCAGAACCAGCAGGACTCCAGGGGATCTGTTCTTTATACCTTGAAACTGTGACTTCTACAATGTTGTAGAGAAAAGTGTTTATTGTGCTTCTCTTTTTCTAAATCAAATTGTAACCTTTTCCACATTTAACCTCTGTCAATTAAGGTTACTCAGAGCAATATGCTGGTGGCAGCCAATGACATTTTTATAGTCGTGATCCCAATATTGCTGGACAAGTGTTAGCAAAGGTGAATTGCTTTATTTTAGGAAGTATTTTAGAGAAAGATAGGTCTTATTGTGGCAGAAGCAATAATGTCAACTTGAAGTCAAACGAGAGAAATCCCAGCAATTGAGAGTATTGATTTCTACTTGAGATGTTTCAAGCATCCTCTTTCTCTCCCTCTTTAATTTCTCTTAATACTTCTGAAGTCCTAATGTCTAGGGATGAATTCCTTATGTCTAGGGAATAGCATACTGTGTTAAAATTTGAAAACATCTTTTCCTGCACTTTCTTAAATTTTGAACATGACAGTAAATTCTCTGTGCTGCTCTCAAGAAGTCCTTCCACAGACCTAGGGAAAACCTGAACAACATGAGAGTGGCCACAGTGATTCAGATCAAGGATCTAACTGCAAGTGAATGTGTAAGGAAGGGTAAGAACACAGCAAGAGTATATCCCAGTCCCAAATATTCTTCCAGCCATCAACTAATTTCAGCTGTTTCCCAAGCTTGATGTGCTTTGGCACATAGATGGAAGTACTTGTTCAATCTTCCCTGAAACCATGTAAAATTCTTGCATCTACAACACCCTTTGACAAGGAGTTGCAAAGATGTGTCATCCTTCTGTAAGAGTCACCTCCTTTTGTGTATTTTGAACTTGACTTCCACTAGTTTCACTTGACACCCCTACTTTTTGTATCAGAAGAGACAGTGATCAGTCAGTACCTGTCCATCGTCTCTGGGCCATTTAGGATTTCATAGACCTGTCTCATGTCTTCCCAAGCCATCTCTTCTTCAGACTGGCAAATCCCAGCCTACTCAGTTTTTCCTGTTACAGAAACCATTCCAGACTTGGACCATCCTTGTTGCCCTTCTCTGAACTTGGTTCCAAGTTCTACTTTATCCTTTCTGAGTTGGGAGAAGACAACTCCACACATTACTGAAGGTGTAGGCAAACTATGGATTTATAAAAAGTGTGGCAGATTATAGAATAGCTTTTTTTTCTCCTTTGTCCTGTCATCTTTTTGTAGGCCTTTGGGTTTCGTGCTCTTTGAAATAAGGCTCTCAGTCTCCCTTAAGTCTGTGCAGAACCCAAGAAAGAAGCAGAGGGCTGGGACACACATAGTCTGAAGTCATGTTCTTGGTTCTGACTGTGACTGTGCAGTGTAGTTTTGGCAAGTCATTTCACTTTTTCTTTTCATGTTCAGGGCACTCTCTGAGCTGTGTCAAGGATGACAAGTTTCTTTTCAGTGTCGTCACTGTGGAGGAAATCATGCTGTGCTGGTAGCCATCAGTCCCTAGCAGGGGTCTGAAGAGGAAAGGCTTTGAAATGCCTGCAACGCTACAGGCTTGGGGAGGAGTGGCTGGAGAGCTGCCTGGCTGAAAAGGACCTGGGGGTGCTGGTTGACAGCCGCCTGAACATGAGCCAGCAGTGTGCTCAGGTGGCCAAGAGGGCCAATGGCATCCTGGCTTGTATCAGGAATAGTGTGGCCAGCAGGACCAGGGAGGTGATGGTGCCCCTGTACTCGGCACTGGTGAGGCCGCACCTCGAGTCCTGTGTTCAGTTTTAGGCCCCTCACTCCAAGAAGGACATCGAGGTGCTGGAGCGTGTCCAGAGAAGGGCAACGAAGCTGGTGAAGGGTCTGGAGCACAAGTCTGGTGAGGAGCGGCTGAGGGGGCTGGGGTTGTTTAGCCTGGAGAAGAGGAGGCTGAGGGGAGACCTTATCACTCTCT